TTTTTTTTTTTTTTTTTTTTTTTTTTTTTTTTTTTTTTTTTTTTTTTTTTTTTTTTTTTTTTTTTTTTTTTTTTTTTTTTTTTTGTGAAATGAAAAACTCCATCAAAGGGTGTGTTTGAGAGTTCTTGTGAGGACGGCTGTTATCCACGTCCACTCCTTTTATTACTACGGTTAGGATCACACAATAATCGCGCACACATTCGATATAGATGAACATAAATAAAGAGAAATATTGATTAAAAGTTTATATGGATGATTTCATGTATGCACAACATAGTATGTAGAGTGAAAGATAATATAGAGAATGAAAAGTACATGAAAAAGTACATCCACAGTATATTAGGTTTACGGGATATACTTATCTACCATATATATACTAACTTTTTACTATAAATTGTCACAGGCTCCATACTCCAACAACCACTTCCATGCTGGTTCGGAGTTTCTTTTTTAGCTAAGCTTATAGGTGAAATATCAAATTTTCCAAAGATGTAATTTCTTTTAACGAACACTATTGATATCTATTTAGCACCCACATTACTAACCTTTATCAAACACTCTTTTTAGAATTGTGCTTGATTTTTTCTAAAGAAAAGTAGCGAAAAAACATTAGGTTTTAACGTGACAATTGTCCTTTTTTTACTTAACTTCGTAAGTAAATTTTTCTTGACGAGTATTCAAAGCACTATCATCAAGAAGTAGACTAATTATCACATTTAAACACATTTAAATTTTTATCAAATAATTAATCATGTAAACTTAACTTGAACAAAATATTTAGGGCATGAAACCTTTTGTTTTTATTTTCAAAATATTTCTATAAATATTTTCAAAATCCAAATCAAGTTTCGAAAACTATAATAAAACAAATTATGACAAAAACATGTATAATTTCAAAAACCCAATAATTGTTGTACGAAAAATTAAAAATTTGGAACATAAAAGTTTAGACTTAAAACATATGCATGTTAGTTTCCCATCTATGTCTGTCCCAAGTTTGAATTTTCAAAATAACACATCAAATTTGGAAGATTCTTTGAAGATAACCGATCTGATCTGATATGTGTTGTCTAACGTCTTAGGTTGTACTTATTTTGTAGCCAAATCTAAACTTTAAATTTTGATCTAAATATTGGACTTGAAATGTTATGTATGTCTTTAATAGGATGAGTATGCGATGTTCTAGTAGAAAAATAGTACATGAATTATTCGAAATCACATACGAACGAGAGAAATCTATATGTATGTATGTGTAACACCAAACTCGAACAAGAAATTAAAAACCTAATTTTTCCTTCTAAATTCAAACTTAAGAAAGAAAAGAAAAAGAGAAAAAATGAATATGAAGGTTTAGGGATTGTTGAGAGAGAGACATAGAGAAAGTCGAAATGCGTTCTAAACGCTCTAAACTCTAAAGAGCTTATGGAAGGTATGATTCCGATTTTCTTTCAAATTCGAGAGTTTTTCTTGGAATTAAGTTCTGAGTATTTAGTAGGTTGATATTGGAGGAATTGTGCAAAAGTTTTATGAAAGAAGTTAGAGTTGATTCGGACCGAAAAGTTGAATTCCGATGAACATCATTTTTGTTGTTGTTGTTGTAAGTTTTAGTTTTTGACGATCTTGGACTCGATTATTTCTTACTGTGATTGACTAAAAATTATGAAAATTTTGAAGCTCCTAGCACAGGTGACAAGAGAGAGATTTCAAAAATTTTGAAGCTCCTAGCACATAGAAAAGCTAGTTCCAGAAGGCACTTATCATCTAAGTAAGTAACCACACAGGCTTTAGGCAGGTAAATACTTGCAGTGATCGGTAGGACGTGCTAGCATACAAGCATTCCTTACCTTATGGTTAGAAAATGCATGCTAAGAACTTCAAAAAAAAGCCTTTTTTTGGATAAATATGCGGCAATGTAATTGTAATTTGAAACTGATGTAGCCTCCACCCGCATTAAAAGAATGGTTTATCAATGAAACATTAGATTGTGAACGGAGGAAATATCTACTCATTTATTCGGTTGTAGTTGTGCAAGAATCAGCCTCATAGCGTCTATGCAATTCATGTAGAGTATTAACTCGTCTTTGTGACAATACTTGAACGGCCCAAGTCCACTGCTAGCCGATATTGTCTTCTTTGGGCTTTCCCTTTCGAGCTTCCCCTCAAGATTTTAAAACGTGTCTGCTAAGAAAAGGTTTCCACATCCTTATAAAGGGTATTTCGTTCTCCTCCCCAACCAAGGTGGGATTCTCACAATCCACCCCGCTTCGGAGCCAGCGTTCTTGTTGGCACTCGATTCCTTTCTCCAATTGATGTGGGACCCCCACCAAATCCACCCCCTTTGGAGCCTAGCGTCCTTATTGACACACTGTCTCGTGTCTACCCTCTTCGGGGAAGAGTCTCCTTGCTGACATACTGTCCGGTGTCAGGCTTTGATACCATTTATATTGTGGAGCCCCACCAAATCCACCCCCCTTCGAGCCCCAGCGTCCTTACTGGCACACCGTCTCATGTCTACCCTCTTCTGGGAAGAGTCTCCTTGTTGGCACACCGTCTGGTGTCTGGCTCTGATACCATTTGTACTATGGGACTCCACCAAATCCACCCCCTTCAGGCCCCAGCGTCTTTACTGGCACACTGTCTCGTGTCTACCCCCTTCGAGAAAGGACCTCTTTGTTGGCACCTCGTCTGGTGTCTAGCCCTGATACCATTTGTAACAGCCCAAGTCCACCACTAGCAGATATTGTTCTCTTTGGGCTTTCCCTTTTGAGCGAACCTCAAGGTTTTAAAACTCGTATGCTAAGGAAAGGTTTCCACACCCTTATAAAGGGTGTTTCGTTCTCCTCTCCAATCAACGTAGGATTCTAACGATACTAATCAAAATCGTGTTCCATAACTACTGATAATGATATTTTCCAGCGTCCCATCCACAATTAATCAGAAGTTATTTCCATTCAACAGAAAAGTCCATAAAACTCACAAGAAACACAGCTCCAATTTCATCAAAATCCAATTATCATTATTACATAGAAGTGGGAGTAGTACAAACAAAGCAAACCAGACAGAATTAAACAATGAAAACTAAGAACAACACATTCATCCACCAATTATTCATCATTTTCAAACTCAAACTCACAAACCAACAGGGAAGGCCACAGTGACCATCAAAAACAACAAAATCTAAAAACTAAAGCCAACATCAGAGGAAGTTCACACAAGCAGCAGCAAAGCACCACCACCACCACAACTTTCTGTACAAAAAGCAATCACTTCCCACTTTGCAAGGAAAAAAGAGAAAAACAAGCTTACCTTTAGAGCATATCTTTGATTAAAGGGCAACTCCAGCGCAGCTCCCACCATATCATCATGAAACGCATTGCTACACTCTCACAATCTCTTGCACTTGGATCACTTTTCCAATTTCTTACATTATCTGCAGTGTTTCTTTATAATATATCCATACAAGTTAAAGAGAAGGCAGAGAAAAATATAGAGAACGCGAGTCGAGTCGAATTGAGTGGACCGTGGGGCCTAAGTTACCAAATGCGCATGCACTAAATTCATGGGGTCCCTAAAAAAAAACACAACAAATCCCTCCATTGTCACCTCCTAAGTTGTCAAATCCCAGTGATTCCTCCAATCTTTAGTGCCCCAAAAGCAAGTAAATCATCATTTCTAGTCAACATTACCCAGTTTGTCTTCAACGGCAGCAAGCAAAGAGCAGTGTCTGCATATCACTTAAATTCCTTTAGTAGCCCAATAATACAGCCCCTTAATGTCCATGGGGTCCCATAAAAGCTACCCAACCCAACTTTTCAAATTCAACAATCATTCTGGAAAGAAATCTTTGCTCGCCACTTTTGCTTTCCCATCCTGACATCCTTGACCCACACCACAGCGAGGTAGCGTGGCAGCCAACCCCATAGCTTTTGCTTTAAACTTTAGAGATTTCAAGTAGTCTATAGCGTCATTGATGACCAACGTCGGGGGCTTGCCCTCAGCACCAGGAACCATGCTTTCAAGAAGTTTCAAAGTCTCTCGTAACTTATCTTTTTTCAATGAAAATTTCCCCGAACCATAATCCATTAGATGTCCTTGGCTATCGTCGCCAGAGTAACTCGATTTCGTATCAACTTGGTAGTTGTTAAATGCATCTACTTTCTTTGAAAAAGGGGCATCTGACAAGTTCTTGTGCCTACCATCTAGCAATCTCTGCCTTTTTCTGGGGCCATCAGAACTA